CCCTCCCTCCAACTCAACCCCCGAGTGACATCATCGCTGGGCTTCCCTCCCCCCAACTCAACCCCCGAGTGACATCATCGCTGGGCTTCCCTCCCCCCAACGCAACACCTGGAAGAGCCTCTGGGAGACAAAGGACTTGGCACGGGGACGGGAACCCAGGCTGAAGGGTTTGTGACCCTGCTTGTCTCATCCCTCAGGGTGAGATGTTGCTGATCCAAATTCCAGCTCCCTTGTATGAGTCTTAGATTGTGGTTTTGTTTGATTTCCTAGATCACCTGCTTTGATGTGTTTATCACCTATAATCACTTCAAATCTCTCCTTCTAGAGTTAATAAACTTCTTTGATGTTTGATCTTAACCAGTGTGTTTGCAGTGAAGTGTTTGGAAATCTTTGCTCTGGTAACGGGCTGGTGCAGATCTTCCCCACATGGGTGGGGGGGCAGGTAATGAGCTTGAACCGTACAGTCCCCTGGGACTCGGGGCTCACACCCCATAGGGGCAAGGCTGGGGGGCTGGGACACTGGCTGGGGCCTCTGTTGTTGGTCGATGTGGCTCCGGTAAAGCACTCAGGTGACTCAGCTGGATGTGTGGCGCCACCTGCTGTTGTGTTGGGTGATAACAGGGCCCAGAGGGGCTGACTGTGGGTCACCAGCAGAGCTGGGGGAGGGGCCAACCCAGCTGAATGGTTTGGGGGCACAGCGGTTCCAAGGGGGTCTCACCAGCGCGTGGATGATGCTGAGCGTGGGGGGGAGGGGTAGGGGGGGTCTCACCAGCGCGTGGGTCACACTGAGCGGGGCGGGGGGGGTCTCACCTGCACGTGGGTCACACTGAGCAGGGGAGGGGTGGGAGGTCTCACCTGCGCGTGGGTCACGCTGAGCGTGGCGGGGGCCACGTGGACGTGGCTGGGGGTCCAGTGGTCCCGACTGGGGGCCGCCAGCGCCGAGTCCAGGGCCGCATTGATCACGTCCATGCCTGGGAACGGGCCAAGCACAGCAGCCGTCAGGCCCTGCCCTGACCCCCAGGATTCGTGGGGTTACCCCTGCCCCACTCCCCACCCGGGCCAGCCCCCAGCCGTTAACCCCTTGTGGACAGGAGCCCCCCAGCCCCCCACAGGCCGTACCCACAGGCCGGGCAACGGGCGCACTGCCCAGGTAGGACACCTGGAACTTCTGCACCAGCTCCGTCTTGGGGGCCGGGAACTCCACTGCAGAGAGAGATGGGGGTCAGACGGGGGTCAGTCTGGGCTGGCAAAGCCGCACGGCCCCCCCAGCACCCCGGCCCCCCTAGCACCCCAGCCCCCCACCCAGCCTGGTCCCACCCTGCCCCCCACTGCCCAGCACCCCCAGCACCCTGCCCCCTCCGCCCAGCCTGGCCCCACCCTGCTCCCTACTGCCCAGACCCCCCCAGCACCCCGCCCCCCCACCCAGCCTGGCCCCACCCTGCCTCCTACTGCCCAGCCCCCCCCAGCACCCCGCCCCCCCCACCCAGCCTGGCCCCACCCTGCCCCCCACTGCCTGGCACCCCCAGTTCCCCACACCCCCCACCCAGCCTGGCCCCACCCTGCCCCCCACTGCCCGGCCCCCCAGCACCCTGCCCCCCAGCCTGGCCCCACCCTGTCCAGCGCAGTTCTTGTCCGCCTGTCCGGTCGCCCCCCCCAGCCCAACGGGCAGGTTTTTTGCCTTCACTCCAGAGGGAGATGCCCCCCCTTTAACCCCTCCTCCCAGTTCCCCGTGACCCCGCCTGGCCCAGCACCTGTGCCCCCACCCTGCCGTGAGGCCCCCAGTGCCCCCCACTACCTTGGAAGGGAATTTCCACCATCTTGGCGGGCTCCAGCGCCAGGCCGGTCACCAGGGCCCGGGTGCTCTGCCGCTGCCCCAGCATCTAGGGGAACCGGGGTCACAGCGTGGCCGGCTGTAGGGGCCCGCCTCCCCCCACCGGCACCGTGTCCGGCC